ATTTCACCTCAGGGAATTTGAAAACTGCAATTGATTTTAGACATTCTACTTATAATAAAACTGAAAAAAAATTGTAATCACTGTTATCAAGGATTTTAAAAATAGACAAACTCCAAATTAAAATAAGGCACGCTTTCAAAATAGTTCATTAGAATTAGGAAAATATAATATTATAATATTGTTCAGTTTTCTGGCCAAATTTCAAAGTATATTTAAATGCCATATCTGAAGTAGAGGATATATTCTTCTACATTAGTGTCCATAAATGAAGAAGAGCCTGCCCATTTATTCATTTGGTGCAACACATATTTTTTCAAAGTACAGGTGTTCTTGACTTATGATGGGGTTAAATCCTGGTAGACCCATTGTAAATCGAAAATTCCATAACTCAAAAGTACGTTTAAGCCAGATGTGATGGTGCATGCCTTTAATCCCAGCCTTCAGGAGGCTGAGACAGGAGGACTGCCACTTTGAGGACAGCCTGGACAACTGAGTGAGACTCTCTGAGAAAAACAAAATGAACAAAGCCTGCCTTTAATACATAAACCTACTGAATATCAGAGGTTAGCCACATAGTACACTGTACTGACTTTATTTTCATGAATGTGTGCTGCTACTGGTCAGCATCATAAGACAGCATTGTACCTTAAGTCACTAGCCGAGGAAAAGATCAAAATTCAAAATTTATAGTACAGTTTCTATCAAATATTTATTGCTTTCACTCCATCAGATACTCAAAAAATTAAGTTTAACGGTCCTAAACCATCTGTATTAAGTATTGCAATTTGCTTTAAGAACAGCTGTGACTTCAAGAGGAGTACTCTGATTAGTAACTGAGTTGTTTTTCAAGGAGGGAATGAAAATTAACCTAATCAGTTTGATATTGTTGTATGCTTGCCAGTTCAGTCAAAAGTTTTGGTCAGCTTTCTAATAGCTTTCTTTATTTTTCAAAGGCTCTGCCTACACTGATTCAGCTCATGTCCTGTTCATTAAGTTCTTTATGCTGAATGTATGCAGGGTGACCCCTCTTTGTATAGGACCACACAGTCACCATCAAAGTGTTCCAACAACTTAGCACCCTTTAGCAGCTGCATTTCTTAACCCTCTCATCCTCAGCCCTGAGTGGAGGAGATACACAGAAAACTGCCTTTTGAAGTCATCTTGAACTCATTGACTTCCATCAGAAGCATATCGGAAGTTGCAAACATTACAAGTATAGATTAAATCTTTGAAAAGTTTGAGCTACATACAAAAATGGGATGACAGATATAAAGTGCTTTATTGTTTGGAATATCTAAGATCAATTGCCTCTGCCTTTGATCATATATTTGAATAATGTACCTTGATTTATCATGGAACTTTAGAGTTGCTTGCAAACAATGAAAACTCAGAGAGTCGGCGCCAGAGATGGTCAGTAACAGTGGTGAAGAACCTATGGCACGCATGTTACTTATTCTCTTTTAAGTCAAAATATGTTAATGTATGAGCTTTTTTCTAAACTAAAATGCTAGCATTCAGGTTTAATTGCAGTGTGTTAATCTGGGATAAATAAGTGAGCTTTGGGTTGTAGTTTTGGCACTTATCTCTAAAAAGTTCACCACCCCTGGTCTATAAAGTTCAAGAGCAACTAAAATTTTCTTGTTAGACAGTGGTTATAACTCTGAAGCCCCAGTAACCTCTCCCCAAAGGAAGAAACTTTTTAAAATTATTGTTTTATTGCTAATTTATTAACATCTAATTAACATCGAATTGTAAAGTTTGGTAATATTACTACAAAATTTTAGCTTTAGTTGTGATGATATATTAAAGAACTTCATATCACATTAACTAAATTTATGATTATCTGATTTTCAAGATTATAAAATTATATTATGAAAACTATATAGTAAAGCTAATTCATTTTTACATTCAAAAGCAAATTATTCATCATACTAAATCACTATACTTTAAGGTATGATTTTTTAAGCCCCATTCTTATCAGCATTTATTTTAAAATAAGTACCAACATAGGACAAGGAACGAAAGTCCTATAATGGATCCAAAGCCTAACTCTCTATTACTGAAAACACTTGTATTACATTTTTGCAGTCAGTTAAAAGGCTTTTTGATGATCATTTAATTTTGAGCTATGTGGCCTTTTCTCTAAAGAGGACAAAACTATTTTGGAAAGAAAATTTTTTGAACTTAGGCATTTTTATTCAATCTTTTAAAGAACAAAGTGACCACAATATAGTTTAAAAATCACTGAGATCATTAAAGCCAATTAATGGCTGCAGGGTTCTAGAATGGTTCTAGAATCAGTCAATTCTTCATTCCATAAAATAGAATCAGGGGGCTGGTAAGGTAGCTCAGCAGCCTAAAGCACCTGCTTAGGCAAGCTTAGGCAGGCACAGGGCCCCTGCAGTTAGATTCCTGGCACCACATGCTGCGTCAGCCCCGCCCTAAGGGCAGGCTGAGCCACGCCCCCTCAGAAAAAAATAGAATCAGTGTTTCAATAAGTTGAGCAGACAGAAGTTGGTTTAATAAACAGAGAAGTGCTGGAAAAACACACAAACGAAACACAAAAGGTAGATCAGTCACTTCTTTTTTTCCTCACCTTTCTTATAAGGTGAGGGGAAAAAGGTAGAACAATAGAAAAATAATTACTTGATTAACGTTGATTATTTTAGATTACTTTTTCTGAATTAGTAAATCAAAAGCAGCACCATTATCTTATTGATTGAAAAAGCTTCTTTAGGAAATTTGGCTGTTTTCACTTTCTCTGCAGGGCAGGGATTGTAGATAACAATTTAGTTTCCCTTTGATGAGCCTCAGCTAGGAGACAACATTTTGACTCCTAACTTGGTCTGCAACACCTCATGTAGAACCCTCATCCAGACGGTGGCCTCCTGTGAGTTTTCTAAAATATCTGTATTGGGAAAAATCTCCTGATACAAACACAGCCTGCACATATGTACGGTCTATGAAGACAAGAGCATTCACTCCTGCTTCCTCAGCTTCTAGAAGGGACTCTTAACACGTGGTAGTTACTCAGTAAATATTTATCTAAAATAACTTCAGCTTGCTGGAATAAAAAGATTAAATTTATTTGTCTTGATCTTGGTTCTGTAAAAAAAAAAAACTCCATAGCCATACCTTAAAACTTTATGACCTTAAACTTAAAGAAAAGCTACAATTAGGAATTCAATTTCTAAGAAGTGCTATTAGAAGAATTTATAAGAGAACAGCAAATAATGAAACAGAAGCTATCAATGAAAAATATTGGTATTTTTATTAATTATTGCCGTATCACCCAGGCTGGGCTTGTGCAATCCTCTGGCTTTATCCTCCTGATTAATGGTCATTATAAACACACATCACCACATCCAGATTTAGCTTTTTGTTTTTGAAGAGTCATGGAAAAGAAGCAAAAGGTAGAGAAATCAAGGTGCATTCCAACACTCCACTGAAAAATTAGTGACTCCTTTGACCAGCTCAGCTCAGGAAAATAGCAGAGAGCTGGGGGACACCATGTGAGGAACTCTTTCTTGATCATTTGGATGGGAGGGACATAGTCTTGTTGAAGACCTACCAAGAAGGAGCAGCCCAAACCTTTCCAAGGACTGTATCTGGAAACCCATAGTCCTTTCAGCCCAGAGAGTTCTTCCACTTTTTTTTTTCTTGTAGCTGAGTAGAAGGCTAACTTTGGAAAATGAGAGATGTATAATGTTGTAATGCTAAGCCGAAAACACCAAGACTTGTTGACAACTCAATGTAAGCTGAGCCGGCATGGGAGAATCAGAGTCAGCCACAAGGCTCCAAGTTGGAAGCACATTAAAGAATTGTGTGATGTGTCTAATGATAGCCAGTAATGAAGAGCAGGAGAGAGGCTCTTCGGAAGAGAGACCCTACGTGGAAGAAAATGCCAAAATAGAATTCACAGCCATAATGATGTTGAACTGAAGACCTGGGGACCAGCCAGAAATCATTTATTTCAAGTTGATTATGGAATCACTCAAATAAAAAATAGATTTAGGAAGGCAGAGTTAGGGTGGGAAAAAACACACTGAGGGTTGAAGACTAAATCCTCAGGGATCTTCAGATTGAAATGAAGGAACAAAATGGGAAAAAATAAAGCCAAAACAGAGTCGCTTAAAATGCAGATTAGCTCTGGGCAACTCTCCCCCTGCCAGGCCCCAGATCTTCTGCTACAGAACTTGTTCCTCTTGCCCTTACCATTGTCGGTTCAGCAGATTCAGGAAAAAGAAAATAGCTAAGCAGAGAAACACAATTTGCTTTGCTCCTTCACAGTTATTCTTGCTACTGGCAGTTGTAGGAAACTGTCCCCATCAAATTAGCCTCTTGAATTGCCTTAAATATCAGAGTATGTTGATTAAATTCATTTCCTAGAGAGGAAAAAGAATTTTAAGAAGAGCTATATGAAAGGAGAACCATCTTTTTCTGTAATCCAAGACTTTTAGGTCTTTAAAAAATGAAAGTTATACCCTCTGAAGGAAAAGTCTGCAAAAATGAATAAAATGGGCAATGTATTTGACAAAATTTTATTTGTTAGACACTCCCAATTTGCTCATGCTTTTAAAAAATTGAAAAAAAATAGCATCAATATAAGAAAAATAAAATAATTTATTTGTGAATGGAGAAAGTACTACAATAGAAAACTTTCCCATTGTGGAAAATTTAACAAATTATTGAAGCCAAGTTTTAACTAGCTTCCATAGTGAAATTTGAGCTTCATCTTAAATTATTTCTATTGATGTGAAAAATCAGATATAGTGGCTTAATATGTATACTAACTCTCACTAGCAGAAAATGTGCCTCACCTCTTGGTGCTACAAAATGCTTTAGACAGACCATACAGATATTAATTTCTTGTTGAAAGCAAGATTCCAAGATAGGCAAGACTATAGTTTTCCAGCACACTCCAGATGGAGACCGGTAGAGGGTAGTCAGTTTTTAGATGAATATTATGCTGACATCATGCCAACCTTTTATCTTTACAGAGAGGCCAATGAGAATTGAACACTGAGCATAATTTGTAACAAGCAGGACTGATGTGCACACAGAAGGAATGAAGTATGGATGTGAAAGAACGTAGGCCTTATTGCTCCCTGACCAAGAGCAGACGAGAAAAAGAACGCCGGTATACAAATTCCTCAGCAGACAATGAAGAGTGTAGGGTCCCTACGCAGAAGTCCTATAGTTCCAGTGAAACCTTGAAAGCTTTTGATCACGATTCCTCGCGCCTGCTTTATGGAAACAGAGTAAAGGATTTGGTTCACAGAGAAGCAGACGAGTATACTAGACAAGGTAGGTAATTGTTCTAGTAAGACAAGGCATGCTCAAATGTTTCTAACTTGTAGGTGTCACATTTTCCCCAGAAAGAGACATGATTAATTTATAGTTTTGATGCCCTATCCACTAGTCCCAATTGGAGAACTTAGATGATCACACAGTATTCCAGGTTACAGTTAGAAAGCCACCAATAGCGTATTGGCACACAGACAAGAGTAATGCATGTAGAGAAGAATCCCACAGCTTCATGCTCACTGTGTATGTGAGGTTTCTAGCTCTACCTGTAGCCACAGTATGTGTGCATAAGGCTGAACCTCAAGTCTCTAGGGCTTCTTTTCAGTTGAATGAAAGCACTCATAAACATTGCTTTTATGGTTAGACTGGAGCACAGAAGCTGTAGAAAAGAAAATTCATCTGTCCCTGTTAAGAAAGTAAGAATTATGATCCTAGATAATCTGAACCATCCATCCCAGCTCTGTGGAAACACAAGAGCCTGCGCTGAAGTGTTTCACTTTCTTTATAAGGTCGCACCTTTACACATCCTGGTTTCCTATAATATAATTTGCTATGTCTTGCTCACTAATTTCCATGTTTAAGACAATAGTTTTTAAATTAGGTGTGCAGTTATATTGTGTTTCTTATAATACAGTCTTGAGATGTGGGCAAGATTTTTACTAATAAAAGTGAAATCCTCTTATGTGTATGTTGTGCTTTATAAAATCTTAGTGTCCCTTAGCTACTTTAATCAGGAAAGGAGAAAAATAGGTTAAACTTAAATAATAATGAATATACTGACTCTTTTCCAAAGACCTCACAGACAGTGTGACTGAAAGATTTTATATTGGACAAGTACAAATTTGAGGAAAAGCGATAATGCAACAAACTGTTCCAAAGTCTGAAATGTCTCTATGATCCTTTTTTTCTGCATTATGAAAAGAGCCATCCTAACAATAGTGAGATAATATTTTTTCACCGAAACAAGTTTATGAAAAAAAAATTTGATTTTCTAAAGAGAGATTTTCCTCACTAAAGCATGTCTTCTTAATTACTGATATCAAGTTCTACGGCAAAGGACAAAACTGCTTATGATTTTAAATTCATTTTTAAAAGGACAAATAAAAGACATTTGAAATATGTATTCTAGATATGTTTTCTAGATAAGGGCTTTAGTTCATTTTACTATATACTCTAATTCTAAACTCAGTTGTTTTACACTGTCTGCATGGCTGAAATAGATGATCAGTGTACATTTTTCACCAATTAAGGAAATGTAGGTAGCACAGAAATACATGTGATTAAAACCCAGTAAAAGTCTCACTTTCTATTACACAAATAACTGCTGAGTCCCCAGTTGGGGGTGGGCAAACCTACAGTGTGGAAGACTTTTAGAAGCAAACCCAGCACATGTGGTGATGGGGTGGGGAGGCTGTTCTCCACCCCAAGCAAGCATTTAGTTTTGGCAGAGTAGAGGATGCTTAAACAGGTTAAAAATAGCTCACTGAAATTTTCACCTCCTAGGCAGCGTTAATCCAGTGCAGACTGTTGTTGACGACACTGGTGATACCATCTGTGGAAACCCTGGAACTGAAGTTCGTAGGGGACCAAATAGTACTATTACTCAGCTCCCTGCAAGCCAAGGACTAGAGAAGAAAAAGGGCCATAGGAAAGAGATATGAGCCAGACAGCAGATGGAGGTCTCTTGTCCGTAGGCTGAATGGGGTAGTGAGAAGAGGTTTAAGAACAGAAGCAAAGAAAAAAGCAAAGTGCAGTGTTTGATGGTGCTATGAGTCACTTGACAGGCTCTTAAATTAGAATTTATTAAAAACACCAGTGTGCTGCTGACCGTAGCTGCTGTATAGGATGCCTTCCAGTTGGCCATGCATAAGCAGGCAGTGTGCACAGGCACCTGCTGAGGTAGGTCCTGAGAGCAAATAGCCTCATAGATCCAGATGTCTGAGTCCTGGAGATCCCCAGGCTGGTGTGTAGGGAGCTGAGACTCAAACCCTAGTCTACATCTAGTGTTTGGGTGTGGAATCTTTTAACAGCTATCAGTGTATAAAACAGGAGAAATAGGACGTTCGTTGTACAAATTGCCCTTTGGCATATTAGAGTCACCTTTCTTCAGTTCCCCATTTAGATAGATGGTGGGGGTATGGATAGTGAAAAATGAGCAAATTCAAGATGTCTATAGGAAGTAAAATGCATCTTTGTAACAAGCTTGGTGAGGATAAGGGCTATGGAACAGTTGGAAATACATTTCCCTCCTTTCATTGGATGTGGAGTGTGTTTGTAGCTGGAGTGGGAGGTGTAAGAGAGAAGTGAGTAAGAGAAGTCGACTATCAGATTTTTTTTTTGAACAAGCATAATGAAATATCCTCCCAGGCTTTCATTTTCTTTGAACCTGACAAATGTCAATTTTTCCTTACTGACTATTATGCTGTGGGATTAATTATTTAATTGACAAAATGTGCTTCCTGACACAGCTCCTGACATCATACACATAATAAAAATGAAAGATTAAAAATATTAATAATAGCCAGAGATCTTTGAAACAATTCCAAAGAATCATGCTAATTTAGCTTGTCCGTGGAGTTTTGAAACTGCACATCAGTCCTGTCCCGCTCACTCCTCGAATGACACAGGAAAGGAGGAAGGGGGACACAGAGGCCCTGTTAATGTGATTTACATAGAGAATTCAAATTTAAAAATAAAGTTTTTTATTTTTATCGACTATTTTTGTGGCCTATGATTAGACTTAATTTTGATCATTTTTATGGCTTTACTGACTGGCAGGTGACTACTGTTAATTGCATGCTACATTTAGATACTGTAAAGCTGAGGATGATTTCCAGTACTGTGTAATTTGTCTGGATCTCACATAGATCTCTCTCTATTTCAAACTGTTCATGTGGCTTATGGGTAAGGGAAGTACTTGCTCTTTCAGCAGCTGGGAAGCTCTGAGGTGTGATGGGGATCAAGTAGCAATGACATGTTTTGCATTCTTGGGGACTATTTTCTTTGATTCATCTTTGAAGAGAATTTATCCCGTCAGGTCTGAAACATATTTCTTATGAGACAGCTGGGCAAGATCAACCCATGGTTTGGGAGAAGTGATAAAATAAAAGATGCGTTGTGCTCTTTTTTTTTTTTCTCTTGAGGTCCTCTGAGTGTTGTATGTGCCTGTAGTATTCTTGAGCAAACAAGAATTCTTATCAACTCCAACAAGTAATGTTGGCCATGAGTGTGGATTTTGAATAGAGGTGGAAATGACAATACTTTTGTTCCATTGAACCAAATCCTAAAAATAATCACCTCTGAGATAGTCCTAACACAAAGTGTTTAATAGTCAGCAGTTGGTGTAGGGTTGAGAATCTCAAAATTTTTAAATGGAAAGAGAATCACTGATTCTTAATTTCTCGAGTGGTAGTGGAGAGAAAGGTTATTGGTTTGTTTGTTTGTTTGATACTAAAGACTAGACACATTGCGTTCACACAGGGCAACATCCACAGTAATTGTTTCATTCTTCTGTTTTGAGAAAAGATCTCATTAAGTCACTAAATTGCCCAGGCTGAACTTGAACTTGCCATTTCCTCCTTCATCTCCCAAAGTGCTGGGATTACAAGCATCCACCATCAAACCCAGGTTATTGTTTTTTAAATTAAAAAAACCAGAATCATATCCATATTTATATTTAACTGAAATAAAAATAGAAAATGCATTTGCAAGAAAAGGAAGGGGACGAGGGAGGCAGATTGACACAGACAGGCGTCTGCTAGCTGCTGAATGTGACTCATTGTAGTCGTCCCTCACCATGCGGTCCTGCTCCCAGCGAGTCTTCTCTTTGGGGCCTGCCTTCTCTTCATTATAATCAGGACCCCCCAGCTCCCCAAGCATGGCTTTTGCTTTCTATCCCATAGTTCTCTTGGTCCAAGGACAATTCAAGTTTGATTTGGGGATTCTGCTAGGGAGAGAGAACAAAGGAGAAAGCATGTGGCTCCCAGAAGCCCTGAATTCCCAACTTCTTCTGTGGGCTGTATTCTGAGCCTCAGTCTTTAAAAAAAAGGAAAAAAAATTCCCTTGCTGGAGATGATATAGGGGCCCCTAAGCAAGTGCCCTGCCAGGGAGCTACCATTTCCAGCCCAGTTCATCTTTTATGTAATATTCCAGGTGCTAGAGCTGCGCCTCACCAAGGAAGAAACAGAAGAATGTTAGAACAGCCTCAGCTCTCCTGCAGTGTGTACCCATGACTGTGGCATGCAAGTAGTTTGAAAGATGCCTGATCTACTCAGCTAAATCATTACTTGCATTGAATTGATCAACTGAGGGAGAAAAGGAGATCAGGAAATCTATTAGGATCCTGAGGTTCACGGTGGTGCAGGGATTTTTCCATTTGGAGTAGGCGAAAGCTCAAATGAGGTGAAGATGAAAGACTGTAGTGGCTCGATGGTTCCAAGGATCGATCGATCTCTCTCTCTCTCTCTCTCTCTCTCTCTCTCTCTCTCTCTCTCTTTCATCTCTGTCTATATGTCTGTCTCTGTCTATGTGTCTGTCTGTGTCTGTCTCTGTCTCTCTGTGTCTGTCTGTCTCTTTCCAATCTCTGTCTCTCTCTGTGTCTGTCTCTGTCTATGTGCCTGTCTCTGTCTCTCTGTATCTGCCTCTGTGTGTGTGTGTCTGTCTGTCTCTCTCACTCCTTATGTAAATATAGCCTTGTTTCCTTGGCCCCTCTGGAGCTGGCCAAACCAAAACAGATTGATTTCTCCATCTATTGGTATTGAGAGTGGCTGCTACACAAATTAAGGAATGGAAAGATTTCTCCTTAGAATCTGACTCAACTTTTCCCTGTTTCTGAAGGTACTCAGAAGAACAACATGGTTATTGGGTCCCAGTAAGCAGGAAGTGGGATAGGGTATAAATAGATTAGGAAGCATAAAAGGAAAATGAGCAATGGAGATAACAGAAGACAACATGGACCTAAATAAAAGATTGTAGCAAGAACACTTATAGAAAATCAAGGA